GATGCTTATGTGGACGTCTTATCTGATTATTGATTGCTTTGAATTTTGACCTTGCTCTTATGCACTGCCATTCTGTACAAATTCATACTGCTGTGCGCTTTCATTCGTTACCTATGTTATGCAGAGACGGGCTGCAGTTGAAAAGCCGTCACGAAATTTATTGGCCCCAAGAAATTCTGCTGTAAATGCTTGTTTTCAATTCATACCCGGGGAAAAATGCTTCAAACATGACTTTGCTGTTTCAGCTTTGATTTTCTCCACGAAATCAAATCTATTGTGTTCTTTTTACTCGTCGATGTTATGATGCAACAGGAAGTAGCTGACGAACTGCCGCGAAATCTTTTGGTATCATTAAATCCTTGTCTGCTTCAGCTTCGTACCGGGGACAGTATGCTTCAAATTTCTTCTAAAATAATCTCGAGGCGAAAATTGAAAATATCGACCCACTTCTGCTCTGTCATGAAAGACAGTATGAGCTTTTCTGCGCAAACGAAAAAACTCATTTTTCTCTATCTAAGCTCCGATCAACGATTAAAAGTATTATCGAATAACCACATAAGCACCAAAATATTGCTTAAACTGCTTATGCGGCGACCGTTCCGTTTTTAAATTACGTATTATCAGACACCAGACTGCACAGAAGTTACACTGACCACTTATTGATGGGTCTTTTCACGGTTACTTATGGAACATTCGTAAGTGCCAGAAAATATGACCAAGTTAGAAAAAAACTGCCTGTGAGCGTTAATACCGTTTTTGGGACATGAAATCAGAATTTTCGGAAGAAAATTCCCCGTTTTCTGAAAGTAACGTGCCTACTCACATCATGCTTCATCTGACTTACCAAGGTCAAAAAAGTCAGTTTTATGTGGAGTAATCTTATTTTGGTAAAAATTTCCCAATTAGATTAATCCACGCGTGTTGGAAAACACGCATTGATGCACAAACATTGCACAGAACCGTGATTAACGCAGAAAATTGCCTGAATATAAGGTGACTTTGATTTGTTCCCTAAATTGTAATCTTTCTGTGATAAAATTACCTACAAACATATTCTGCACGAGAAAAACACTTCGTTTCAGAGAGGAGTAGACGACTGCCTATAATACATGCTTTAGGTACCTCGAAACGATCGCACAGATCCCCATTGTTATGTTTCCCGAGTTATGTCGCCTGCTATCAGTATGGTTCTTATGGTGTTTATCCGCTTGTCGGCCGTATGGGTCTCTGACTGGAAACCTGCTTGCACCACTTGATCGCGAGTAAGAGGGACGCGTGGTCCTCTCTCGAATGACCGGTATGCTGGTTTCTTTGAGTTGCTATCAAGGTTCCAGTCACGTGTTCGTAGGCTCAAATAAAATTGCTGACCGTTCTGACAAGGACGTTGGTCAGATGTGGTTATGTAGCCCCACCTAAAGTAAACAAACCCCAGCCATCTGTAATACGAGACCGGTGGTAATAGGGGGTCTTTACAGGTGCGGCCAGGGAATGTACAGGCGACGAGGTCAATTAGTTGATACAAAGGAAAAGCTATTGAGAATGCGCGGTTCCACTTTGAGTGGTTGAGAAATAGTTGCCCGAACCTCTAATCCTAACCATAATCGCTAGCCCTAACCCCAACCCCTGCCTTAACAGTATTGTGTCCATCAGATCGGGCTACATAACCAAATCTTACCAAAGAACGTTGCCTGGGACTAGCAATATCGGGAATGCCACACTCTTCGTGAGTGTGCCGCCAATGCTGATGGCGATTCCGTAAGCTCGAGCAAAAGATTATATCAGGAGCATCTATCTCTTGGCTTCTATAATTAGCAGTTGAGTCATGGTTACTTTACCGTCGCTATCTCCTTTCAGATGTGTTCGCCGGCTAACACCTTACTGTCCGGCTCCTCTGGCTCGGCTCATTGCCTCATTCCAAAAGCGTTACGCCGACCTCCCGACGGAACTACAGTCACCGGAGGACCCCCTCTCTCCGCCAATCACCGGTCGCTTGCTTAAGCATCTGTTGGGGCAGACCGAGGAAGAGGTTGTCTTGGTGGCGGACGACACCAGCATTGCTAGGAATATTTGGATGGACCAGGAGAACCTAGCCGGTGCTGGTGGCTCTTCCCAACCGGTGGTCTATCCCCCGAGGAGACTGCAGTCAGTTTGCGCCCTCTGGCAGGCGTGGGATGCCCCAGCCAAGGCCCGGACGGCTCTACTCATCTTCCTACTCTTTGATTGGGTCGCAGTCATGGCGCTAATGCCTGCAGCATCGACACAGCCCTCTGATGATAAGGGGGAGGAGGATTCCAACACTCAAAAGCAGCGACGTGTTCGGTACCGAAGTCAGTCCCCAGAAGAGATCAGCCCAACTGCTCGGGCGATTAAGATGGTAAGGGTCACTCCGCGGCATTTACTGTCCGCACACCCGTCAATCATCATAATCACGCATCAACAGTAACTGTAGGCGTGGCACCTCAACAGTCCCATTGTCTCCCCATTGTGTTCTCTAAGATATCCAAATGTCAAAAGAAAAGGAGGCGTTCACCGGGAGAGGTGTATTGGATGCCTGACCTTTCGAGTAGTCGTTTCTTCTACCCATCTTCAGAGACTGAGAAGTCCTGCATACAGCTTTCCTTATATGGCGCACTTTGTTTGATGCCTGGCCCCCCAATGCCGCCTGTGTCGCTGCATCAGATCTGTGGGACAATCGGGGCCGTCAACTATCGCCGCGACCGACGAAGATGGGCGGGATTCAGGTCACAGTGACATGCGGGTCGGATGCAGCCACACAGGCGGTATTGGCGGGCCAGGCATCAAACAAAGTGCATCATAAAAGGAAAGCTGTGTGCATGACTTCTCAGTCTCTGAAGATGGGTAGAAGAAACGACTACTCGAAACGTCATACCTACAATACACCTCTCCCGATGAACGCCTCCTTTTCCTTTGATATGCCACCTGGGAATCGCATCTTCACTACTATTGACATCCAAATGTATTAAGACAAGTTAAGTTGGAGTTTGAAGTTTGATTCTCAAATTAAAGTTAAACAGAACTCACTACTCGAAGCTCCTTCGTGTTATTTTTACGAGTTTCTGGTCGGCATTTTAAAAAACGTTTTTTTAACCTAGTTGACGGTTTCGTCCAGCGCTGTTGTTTGGCCACCTGAGACCAAGTTTAGGAAGAGGCGTGCTTGCCAAAAGCTGACGGCCGAGGTTAGGGGGGGGGGGGAGTGGGGGCTCCCGCAGGTGGCTCTTTGCGAGCTACCCACCAGCCGACTTCTGCATTCCCCATGAAATCATATCACAAGCCCATGTTGCTGCAGTTCACCGATAAATTCGGCCGAGGGGGCCATGTCACGGATGATACAGATGTTTTGGATTTCCTACTCCCTCACCTTGCGACTTTTCAAGTATGCGTTGGGGGGTTTTAGGGGCTTTTCTCCGCAAGTAGGACTTTCTTGTCTGTGTTTCCGGCCTACCCACAGTTTGTGTAGTTTTGGTCTGTAGGACCTTGAAATTTAGTCTTCTAGCCACTCAACGCATCATCGTTCTTGCTTATAGGACTTGCGATTCTGCATCACCCAAGCTGCTGAAACCGACACAACCCAAATCCGCACAGAAAGCATGCCTGTTCTGCAAACGTAGCTTCACAACACTATTTGATTTTGAGATAAACGTTGTTGTTCCATTGTTGCCTGTACTCACAGTGACATGGGGTCTCTTCACCGTTTGTCCGCGGTATGGTAATTTTGCGTAGTTTTAATTCTCATACTGGAGAGGTGTGCGTGAACCATCCAGCAGACTCTTGTTCAGCGTTCTTTGCCTCGACATTCGATCAGCTCGAATACTGTCAGTGCGTTATTCCGCCCCTTCTGATGATACGCGGTTACCCGCTGTGGCTGATGGACTTTGGCCCAAATATGCATGTATACAATTCTCGGTCTGTGCCTATAGACCTTGAACAAACTGATCTACTCCAACTTTGTAGATAATTTCTGACAATTTCTAAATTGGAGTATCTACCAGAAAACACGCGGGGAATGCTGGGGGACCCACTGACGAGCCGAACCCCTCGCAGCTGCACCATGCAGCGGCAAAACATCGGCGAAACACGCGTATATGGGCTTTTGGCTAGTACCTATGCTGTTAGTATGGTATCACCTTTCCCTAAAATGTCCATTTTGTAGAGCTTTGTTTTTTCACGTGTTTGCAGAATGACAAAAAAATTCTAGGACGACAGTTCGGCAGGGGTGTGGTATGTAGCACCACGGGGAAAACTGTTTATTAACTAGAACCCTAACACCAGCCGTGGCCGTACCTGTAATGGGGGAACCCTAGCTCTTAACCCGTAAGCATGTAAGAAAAACTCAAACGTAACCCCAACCTTAACCCTAAAACCCCACCTCCAATCCCAACCTCAACACCAAATCTAAACCATAAGCCAAGCCTGGCAATATCAGCCCTAAAAATAACCCAACTCCTAACTGCCGTCACCTGCCTTCGTCCGCCAATCAAAACGGTTTTTAGGCTGCTGCTGCAGTGTTGAACGCATCAGCACGAAGGCGCAGATGAGAGTTGGTCAGGAGGCTGAGGTGGGCCCGAGTGAAACGGGCACTTCGTTTGGCCTGGCCACGCCTACCCAGGTGTCCTGACGCTAAAACAAACTATCTGCGTGTAAATTCATCCTGCCTCATGGCCATTGAGAGAGTCCGGATCGTCGTAGTTGGCTAGGGTACTTACTAGACGTCGCATCATTACTAAAAAACTGACAACAGCTCATTAGTTCTTGTCTCCGCATGCACCATTCCTTCTCCCTCCCCTCTGCCTGTTTTCATTTTTACCACCACGACGTGCGGCACCTTGCTGTGATGGATTGCCTTAGGTTTCAACTAATTATGCCATTCCTTAAGGATTTGCCTATCTCCAATCTAAAGTTCCGATTGTTTCCCTCTTTGTTATTATTACTAGCACAAATACGTGGTAGCAGAGTTTCTCAAAGAATTCCCAACCGAAAAACCACTTCTGACCGCAATACAAACGTTGTGGCTCTTCGACCGTTGCCGCTTTAAGGTGAGTCTGTAACTTTCTTGGTAATACTTGAACGTTACAGGAAATATGCGGACTTTTCATGCTACAAATGCCTTGAGGCTCGAGGCTCTTTGCTATTTTCAATGTCTTATTTCAATATTTTTTTCGTCCCACACAGCACTGTCGACCCTGGTTCAATTAATCTTTGCCTTTTTCTCCCTGAATATGGATTTTAAATGTGCATCAGCTTCTTTAGGAATGGTAGCTTTCGGGTCTTCTAAACCCAGCCTAGATCAAGAGTCCTGCGAAATTAAGTGACATTAAGACCTTTTACACTTACTACCCAGCTCCAACGGATGAAGACTACCGTTCGAGAAAGCAGGGTTCCTATACCGCCGAGAGGTAAGGTAGGGATTTGGGTGAACAAAAACCATAGATGCGGGTGTTTGCTACTAGTGTGGATATTATTTTTTTTATTGAAATGGTGCCCATTTGAGTAGCTAGTGAAAAATCGTCACAAACACTATTTCGGTACTTTGCAGACTGTCTTTTTTCGTGTAACGCTCTGCTATATCTATCGAGCATTGAGGTTGGCCCACTCCCCCACCTGGGGAGTGGGGAAGAGAGAGTGCGGTAGATGCTGCGCAAGTCTACTATCACTATAGGCTACTTCATGCGCAAACCACCGTGCCTTCTGCATCTTGCTGTGTAGCACACGGTGGACATCGTCGAACTCGACGGTCGACAAAACCATTAAACATTAATCCGGACCACGCATTGACAGTCTATTATCGGAGGTGTGTTGTCTTTTAAGAAGTCCCCCATCCCATATGTGACCTCCGGTACCCCATCTTTGATTTATCCAAAAAGACCTCGTCGAAAAGTTTGTGCTCTTTTGGAGCGACGGTTGGTGATCAGCATGCTTCTTAGCGGATAAAATACGCCCTCCAGTGAGTACCCCACTCAAAAGTAGCTTCGTCGAGACGCTCTGTGGATGAGGGTCAAACTCCCCTATTGTTTTTCGAATTATTTTCGGCCATAGCATTGACAACGCTCTTTTCCTTTTAGCAAGCAGCCTTGCAAACTACAACTTCTAGCGCATCGTGATGGGATTGTGTTAGATTTAACGATGGTAGAGGGGTGTGCACCGATCGTGTTTCGGAGCTCATTCGCCCCGTTGTGCCTTCGGGCTCTCCCTCTCGAGCCCCGCCGGCAATCGCACAGCGGTGTGTAATATGAGGAGAATAGCTTTATTTACAAAGGAGACTGGAATGGATGCTTTTGGCTTATTAGCCTTCATCAGCCGGCATCCCTTCTACCATTGTTAATCCACCCGATCGCAACCGGCTGGACAACCGTTACGTGCCGCAATTATTACGACGTTAAACTCTTAAGCAAGGGGTTGTAATTTCGAGCCTCGACGGTTGTGTGTGTGTCGGTGTTGGGTATGGCTGGCTGATTAAGACCGACAAGCCAGAAATGGTCATTGTTGTCAGTTTTTTGAGCCGAAATCCGTCAGCTTCACCGGAATAATCAAGTAGTATTTGCATTCTGCCCACAGACTGGCGCGCACACACGTGCTCGCCTGCTTCAACATTGGGCAAACAGTCTTAAGTCCCTTTTGACTGTTAATACTTTAGTCCACCGTTAGCACCCAAGTTTTTTCCACTTATGGTGAACAGCGTAAAATTAGCGCAAGTTTTCGCTGTCAGCAGCCACACGTGTAGGATGATTGTAAGTCATCACTTTCAATTGCCCCGAGAGATGGTTGGGGCCAATGATTTCGTTTCCCGACTGCCTTCTTCGCATCCCTCCTTAAAGTCTTGTTCCGTCAAAGCAGTCGGGAAGCGTATCCCACAGTGCAGCTAAGTAGTATACTTTCTTTTGCTATTCTNGGACTGAAGTTGGTTAGCTGAGGTGCTGACTTGAGACTCTTAAATACGTTGTCTCGTACATGACTTCGTTGACGATTCCGGACAATTTTTTTCAGACTTCTACTTCGCCCTTACTTGATTGGTTCTGGGCAACATAAAAACGCAGATGACTTAAAATCTTACGTTAGGTAATGAAAATTGCACTATAACTGATCCCCGCATCTTCATTATGTGTAGGTCCAGTTAGAGGACGTCAGGTTTGTACGTTTTTTTTCTGGACTACAAAATTTTGATAACCTGCGAATACAGAGCAAGCGCAAACTCTACTAATATATAGTGACTGTTTATTTTATTTAGGTAATCAGACAATGTGTACGATTATTTTATACCTGTGTACTGGTTACTGTTGACCCCCTTTTGTAAACCCCTTTTTTCTGCCGTTTACGTATGAAAAGTAACTTTTGGGTCAGGATGCCTTTTATTTGCAGTTGTTCTTGCACCTTGATAAGTTAAAACATTTACTTGAATGACGTAAATATGAGTTTTAGTTTTTCTAGTGAATTTAACCATCACCTTTCCAGAATCTTGTATGTCCCGCCTGCGAAACCTTTTTTACGATTAGTCCCGTACTAAAGGCGATTTTGAAGCAAATTGCTGGGGGGCTTTATATATTTAATTAAAACTCACCTTTTGAGAAAACTGCGACAAATCATCCATCGCCCGGAAATTAAAAATCAATGCCTATATCTGTGTACTCAGGGCACAGCACTCTTCAGCCGACCCTCCTAAAGACTAATCGTTGTTGCCAATTCTTCTTGTTGTTACTTCGTTCCTGCAGTTTGTGAAAAAAATGTGGGTTGTGGCCAAAACCGCTGATTCCCTCATCGCATGTCGGCCATCCTGTAAACCTTTAGGCTAAATATTCCCTAGGGGGATTGGCAGGTGAGGGGGGGAGTCAAGACGATTGGCTAATTGTGTAATCAATTGGTGTAAAATGAAGTAAGACCTTGTCTTCAGGACCTTTTGTTGATCCCGGCTTGCATAGAAGAGCGGCCAAAAGGGAACCCTTGAAAATAAACGTCGTAGCCATTTCCCGTCCTGTCGCAGAGAAGCCGATCTCATTCCTTCTTATATTCTTCATTTTTGGTCATGTTTTGTTCACTTAACTTGCGTTTTCCTTCTTTTCGAGACTACCCGCTATTCTCTGTCAGAGTTTTAGTCAGTTATATTCAGAATTCCTTGTTTCTTCATCCAGATGGACGTCTCTTGGATCTCTTAAACGCCGATCTTTCCAGCTGGGAAATCAATATCCTGACTGACTACTTGAAGTCCAACGGTCATCGCGATCTTCTCTTCTGCTGCCTGCTGGCGCGGTCGCAGTACAAGGTAGCCCTACCGTCGTTCTCTCCAACCTCCTTATTAGCCTTTCTGTCCAACTTTCATATTGTTTTGTCAAATACCACTGGACTGTCAAACCACAAACTAGACTGTTATTTACTTGGGAATAAAACCACTGTTTTCGGTTCTGCATCCCCCAGCGCTTTCCGTCAACTATCTATACACATCCAACGTCAGATTTGCTGTGTACTGTTGCTCCTATCACTGCTTTATTCTAAGGACCTTGAGGAGTATCGGTCTCCCTTTCCGATTTTCAGTTTCAATAATGATGCTGCTTTAATAATGTGAGTAACATGTCTTAGTTACTTTTATTCTCCGATATCCGTGACCGTTAAGTTGCCCTAGCCTAACTTATAGGGCATCATAGAATCTGCTATTTCCCCCCTATTTCAGGCAGCAGCCAACCTCGTCAGCGAAATTGACCCGAATCTGCCAGCTGCCTCTTGGTGGGGAAAATCAAAGACGACTTCGGCGACCCGTGGCCGTGACGACCAGACCTGCGTGGAGCTGCTAAAGATTGTCGACTCCTGTCTATCCCTCAATTACCGGCTGTGCCGAGAGCCTGCAGACGAGGTTGTACCGACTGCTGTGGCCCTGCGGCCATTTTCATCTCGACCCCACACCACCTCGGATTCCGGCCCTCCTCTCTCTGATGGACAAATGGAAGAGGATGCGGGTCGTTTCGAGGCAGTTAGCCTCGTCAGGGGACCAGCCTTTCTTAGGACCCCTAAAACAGCGACGATTCCCGTTCACCTAAGCACTGTCGATCGAGATCAGCGTTCTGAGTTCTGGAGAATGTATAACAAGTACGTCGACTGTTGTTATTACGTACACAGTGTACTTTACGTCAGACTTGTTCTCAAACCCCTCACCTATACTGGATCATTTTTTTCAGAGCGACTTCGTCTAGAGTAAAACCTGGTGGTTAGTTTTTGACGTAACTGGCGGAGTTCCAGGAGACCATCCTCGAAGTTGGGCTACACCCCAAAACACATACACTTAGTGACCTAACTCACAAAATGTGTCGAAATTTACGAATGATTGCTAATCACTCGCAGACCGACACCATTTCATGAGTCCAATGTATATTTTAATTAAGTACAAGTTTAAAAGGAGCAAAAACATAAAACAAATATTAAAGACAGTGTTGCGTTGTTTAGAAATGCCGATTTATTTTGAAAAGCGCAATATCCCGAAAACTTCCTAAATGGCACTAATTTAGTAAACTTCGTTTTTAGATGTATTGAATGATTCTTATACCAAAAACGTAGCAAATATGAAAGTAGGAATAAAATAACGTCTAATAGTGTTCCAGTGAAGTTTACATCTAAATAACGTTTAATAATTAGTGTGACTTCATGTATGACGGTTTGTCAACTGCGCACATTCTGAGTGTAGATTCCAAAACAGTTTCCCAGGGGTTCGTGTGATCCTTGACTCTTTTGAGTTAAATGAGATGGGGTTCAAAAAGAGAAACTGGATTTTGCTTGATTTCACCGATGGGGGCGTCGTAGGAACAAAAGCTTTCATAAGGTGACATGCCATGAGTCCGGTCGGTGCCTAATAAATTTGAATAGTTCATATTGACCCAACTGAAAGACTCGGCGCCTCGGTGGGATTCGAACCCACGCAGTTAGGGGGAGGCTTTAGTACAGCCAACGCTCTAACCACCTGAGCTACGAGGCCTCGCCGGACGACGCGAGCTTAATCACATTTGGTTCAAGTTACCCGCCTAAACTACTGCAACGTCTGGAATCCACCAAATCTGATACAGTAACTTGACTGCCCAAGCAGGATTTCCTAAGTAATTCACCTAGAATCCACCAGATGACTACCAGGCTCACGCTCAAGTGGTTAGAGCGTTGGCTGTACCAAAGCCTTCCCCTTACTGCGTGGGTTCGAATCCCACCGAGGCGCCGAGTTTTTCACAGTTGGGTCAATATGAATTATTTAAAATCTTCCAAAATATCTATGAAATTTAAATAGAACTGACAGGCGTGAGCTTAAGCATAACACTTTGTGTTTATAGAGAGAAGTTTTCTTCCCTTAAGTTAATTTACACTTCGTTCGTTTTGGATTACGTTGAGTTTTAGATCGGCCTCGAAATGTTGCTGAATACTTCATGATTTTCAGTGTTTTCACCCGATCGTCCATAGAGACCGATTCTGAATTGACTGTTTGTTGAGAACTTTAAAACAAGATTATTCTTGAAGGTATTTTCCGAATTAGTGAGTGTTCGGGTGCTCCTTTTCACGAAGGTGCGCAACGTTAAAGACATCCAGAAATTCTCGCATTAGTTTCCCTTATCAGATTTCATGAGATAGGTCACGTACTGTAAATCACCCATAAGGCCGATGGTAGTGCCCCCGCGCTGAGTGGTTGTCTACTGCATAACGAATTATATTAGTGCTGTCAACTTGACCTAGATCTGGAGCCCTTTGAGAGCCTTCTCATCTGATTTAAAGTTACTTACCGCATTTTTATCGAACGCCAAATGACATTGTTCTGCATTGAATGTCTTGGAATGAATCGCCGATGCTATACGCTAGTTACGCATTAACAAACACTCAACGAATATAACCTCCCTGGCAATACCTATGTCGCGTTAGCCCTCAAACGTGTATTTTCTCCGACGCAGTAATTTACCAAATCAAATGGTCCATCCTTCTACACTTGAAGTAAAAAATTCTCTAGCCGATTTACTTGCCTTGAAAAGGCACTCGTTAACAACCGTTAAACGCAAAGCGCTGCATCGATATCTTCGGCCCAAATCACGGTGCCTGTAATTAAATCTACCTTAAATCCCATTCTCTTTTGCTAATAATTCTACGTTTGCGACTGTCACTGCTCGCCTTCTCATCACCCCCCCCCCATTCCAGAATGCAAGCTATGGACAAGCGCTCAAGCGACTTCAAATCGCCGAGTCCCATGCGTCCTCTCGTCACTGCCAGTGTACGTAGACGACATGAAAAAATGCTGGGGTGAGTTGGTCCACTTGACTGGCACTTTCTACCATCTTCTTCCCAGAAAGCTGCTTTTTGCCAGTAAGCACCCGTCCCCCCCTGGGAAGGTGGAAACAACATTGGCCTTATCCCGCTTAGGAAAAGCCATTTTGCGCATCATCATGAAGGGCTTAAACTGTCCTCGAGAAAACTCGGAAGACTGCAGCATCTGGTAGGGTTGACAGCGTAACATGCCTCGCAAACGTGTCCTGCTGAGCAAACTTCTAGCCTGCCGGGGGGAGGGGGGGTTACGATTGGTTAGATAATAAATAACTTTGAAATTCTCTCCGGTAAATTTGGGTTTCTATAAATTTATGCGATGAGACCACGAAAAGGATTCTTCAAGGCATGTTTTCTGTGGAGGATTAAGTTGTGTCCAAGGGATGACATTTCTTTTGTTAAAACCGCATGGCATGAATCCTGCCAGGTTAATGGTTTTCTTTTAGAGAATCTCTCATTAAGTTTAGTAGTATGTAGAATAGGCCCTTTGACTAATTTCCAAATCACACGGGTTTGTCCGTCGGCTAACTAGGAAGACCTAAACATGACACACAGTTAGATTCCGAACCTTGAATTACCAGGGGAATTTAATTCGATTCAACGACACGGACGGCAGCACAAATGTCTTTGGTCCACTATGGACACTTTTGATGCGGCATTTCTTATCTTAGTTTCGACTTGGTGCCGGTTTTTCGTAACTGTGGGTGAGCTAGTGCTTGAGACAACCTTCCCAGAAGGTGGACACACATGAGCTGTATCATCAGGATCCGCGGTGAATACGTTTGTTGTTCGGGTTGTCCTGGGCTGAGCTGACTCACTGTGTACTGACCACAAATCCACCTCGTTGGTTAGTTTTTCTGTCCAATTCGGAGCACCATTTCAGCAGCCATCTTTCGAGAACAACTCCTTTGTCTCCGCATGAGCTGCGAGCTGAGAGACCAAAGTTTCTGATTACAGCTTCCGGTGGTGTCATATGGCCAGTGCAATAAGATTTTATGCGTGTGTAACGTTTTAATCAAAGATTTGGCGTCGGTCCCAACAGGAGAGATTGTCTGATTCCTCTCCTACGTGTCGAAGCTGGGGGCATCTATTCGTTTGTCAAGTGTGCATATGTAAGTCTTCCCATGGTTTCCCGAGACAATTCTCCCGGAAGGGAGGGAGAGGTGAGGAACCTGTGTAGTGTTGTTTGGCTGAAAGGCCGAGGTGTCAGCGGCAATGTCACACTTTAAAACACGTGCCTTCTCTTGGAGTGGAGGCGGAAAGCCCGACTTCCCCCTCCCCCCCCTAATTTATTGTATCAGATGCTATGCATCAATAGGTCCTACGTTTCCACACCGGTTACCTCACTTGCCTGGGGGACGCGCTGTCTATTAGGATTTTTCCGTCTTTTATTTTACTCTGTCGCCGTTTTAACGCAGCACGTTTTTTCCATTCTCTGAAAACTAGGCTGCGTCAACTCATCTTTCTGGTCATCACGATCGTGCTCAGATCATTTGTGTTTCCGCAATTTGTAATACTTAGAGCATCTCCTGTTTACGGAGTCCCACCAGTCACCAGTCTTGATAGTCATTTTGTCCGATAGGGCAGCTCATGGGCAATGTTTTCACATGGAATTCATATGCGCCCACTGCCTCTTATGAGCTGTGCTCAAAGTGAGCTAATTATTCCCTACTTCCGAGGATCCTGCCTTCACCAGGTGTTTACGTTTACTGTGTCTGCTCTCCCCTGTTCCAGGTACGTGTATTCCGAGCCAGTAGACAGTGCCCGCAAATCGACCCGTCGTCGGTCCGGTAGCCGTCTGCCTTACCCCTCCACTGACAGCCGTCACTTCCACTCCACCGCAGAGGTTCGTCAAAAATTGGACTTCTGGTCGGAATTACGCAGGTGGCATAAACCCGGTGCTCCTGGGGATACCGTTTGTGAGACCACAGTGCTGCCAGATGCCTCATTTCTAAAGGTTGGTCCTCTTACTTCAATCGCGCCGTGCGTTTTGCAGCTGAGCCGAGTGTCCATTAAACCGGCGTTAATTCAACTCCGATATCCCTTGATGCGGTTATCATGATCCGCTCAATCAAGTCCATTGCGCTCAGGCAATTAGTGACAATTTCGGGCGCCCCGTTCCCTGGCCATCTTCTTTATGACCATGGTACTTTGATATCAGTAGTAGCGCCCACCTCTTGGGACCATGCTTGTTGAGTTTTGGTTCATCTGAGATTGACTGCTCAATGTTAAAGATGTACAAGTTGTTCTACCAGTTCCGAATCACTCGCCTTTAACCAAGAAAAATAAACCAACTTCAAATGATTCGAACACTAGTTTCCTCCCGACTCTCTTCTGGCCTTGACTCTGAATCCGGCTCTGGGTTTTTTCGAGGTTCTTCTAAACTGAATTGTCTTTTAACTCGAAAGCTATTTTAGTCAGTGAGTCCAAGTAGCTTCTGCGCAAAAAACTGTTTGAACCGGACGCCAGCAAACAGTTATCGAAATTCTAACTCGCAGTTACTTGCCAAGTCTCGGACAAAGTGTTCCTTGTGTTTCATGCCTTCGATCTGTGTTCCTTGAAGCTGGTATAATTGCACAATATGTTGAGGTAAGCGGGTGTGTGTCCCCAAAAACGGGTCACAAGCTAGATGCGCTGGATCAACGCAGGGGCAAGATCGCAGTCCGTCAGGCGTTCTCGGGAATGCGCACCCATAACAAATGCCAACAAATGGAGGAGTCGTGGGACGTACATGTGCAGGCTCGCGCTGTGTTATTGAGGAATCGGACTGCCCTTCTTTTGTGTATAAAACCCCGGTCAAGTTTGTGTTTTGGACCAGGGAGTGTGGCGGTATGCCTAGGTGCGGGTTTACGCCGCACCAGCCACCCGTCCCCGGTCTCCTTGACTCTATTTTGACACAGGATCCAACTGGTGATGGAGGAGTGTGTTGTAGATGCAGCGCAAGTCTGCTATCACTTTAAACTTACTCACCCACAAGTTGCCACTCCTGCTTTCACCTTGTTATAGACCTAACGGTGGACATTGTCGGCAACGACGGTCGAGCTGTCGGGTCCGTTCCAGAGTCACTGACTTACCCGCGTAGGAAAAACGCTCAATGAAACCTAATTTTGGACAATTCGTTTTGTTGCCTGCCTTGAGTTCTTTTTCTGCTTTTTCAGCTTGCAGTTTTGTCCGATTTTGTCTTGATTTCCGTGAACTGATCTTTGCAATCTAATACTGCGCTGCACCATCTCGTTTTAGCCTGCATTACCGAGTAACCCTCATCGAAAGCAGGTACACAGTGATCTCCACTACAGTAAGTGGGCTAACTCATGAAATCTCGACAGAAATTCCGAAATGCATTGTCGTTTGGAAAAGAGTAATTAAGTAGGGTTGTAAAACCAATCATCGTGCAGTATAATTCTATAATAATTCAGTAACGGCAGGACGCCGGCTTTCGAACAAACTTCTTTTTGGCTGCATCCAAAAACCATACTCCATAAAAAGTGACTACTTAAGTAGCATGCATTTTCATTGATTTCCGATGCCCTTAAAGATTCAATTATATTTCATGGAAAACATGCACAATAATAATCATTCTCCTGTTCATTCGGTAGACAATGATGTCTTCTTTTTATTTTACGCTCGAAGGAAGGGCATAATTTGGTCTTATAAAACGTTTCTAATTCCCGAATAATTTTTAACCAAATCCGCCGTTACACTTGCATTCAGGGTTCCCAAACTGTAAGCCGTATAATTTCCGCGTACGGGAAACCGTAAATTGCTCTAAGGTATTCAGAAGAGATAATATGGGGTTCATAAAATTTATTAGTGAATTTGAGCCGTATTGTTAACTGCAAGTAACACTAGTAAATTCAGAGACATGACGTTTTATGAAGGGCCATTTCATGGTATTAAAAAATCACAATTAGAAACTTTTTAAAACAGAATTATACCCTTTCTTTGAGTTTAAACTTGAAAGAAGACGTAATTTTTTCCTGAATGAGCAGAAGGATGAATATTTTTATGCATTTTTCCATGAAATATAATTGAATCTTTAAGGGCATCGAAAATTAATGAGAAGAATGCATGTTACTAAAGTAGTCATTTTTTAAAAAATGTAGATTCCGCATGCAGTTCGGAAGCTGGCATGCGGATGTAACTGAGTTATTATTGAATTATGCTGCACGATGATTAGTTTTACAAACCTACTTAATTAATCTTTTCGGAACCGAAGCGCATTTCAAAATTTCTGCTGTTATTTCATGAGTTAGCCCACCTACTGTAAGAGTCCCAAGCGTTTCACTTGCTTCTACTTTAGCCTGGTCTTTTGAAAGCTGCTTGCGGTATTCAAATCTTTGAGCCTGATGGGCGCACGAACGGTGACTTGTGAATGAGTTAGTTTGAAGTGATGGTGGACTCGCGCAGCATCTGCTGCTGTCTCTTTCCTCCCCCGCCACCCGGTGTCATGACAAAGTAAGGAGAACCGGAGGCGGGAGAGGGCGCAGATGTGGCTGATGTGACGTGATCCTGCATTCAGGTGTCCCACCACACCCCCTAATCCACGCACAAAAGGAGGGCATTTCACACAAGAAGGGTTCGACGGCCGGGATCGCAACTGACTGCAGGTGTAATAATGTCCGCATTAAGAGGGAGAGTAGACGCTCATTGAAACCGTCCTGAGTTCTCTCTTGTCCGATTCTAGCTTTCATTACTGAGTAACCCTAATCTCTCCTAAAGTTCCCATTTATTTTGCCTGTTCCTACTTTAGCCGGGCCTTTCTAAAACAATGGACAGTCTTCAAACCACTGAGGACGACGAAGTCAGCACTGAGCTGTCCTGCGCTGACAGTGAGGTTACCATTAATCCTCGAACTCTTACACTGCGTGAGCCCCATTAATTTATTCGTTTCTTACCCGCGTGTCACAATCTCTTTTTGGTTCATACCGCGCTTTTCTAGACTCGATCATGATCTGGCCGAACTCCTCCCATTATTCAAAGACAAGGTGTTCTGCCTCCTAACGTATAGGGCTTAAGGACTTAATATCCTGTAATCTGAATATGCTAGATGAGGTTCTTGTGTCCTTCCTGCCAAGCATAGTCAAACGTTTACAAATTCGAAAAATGAACACACCCTGCTTAAGCAATTATTTTCACTATGGGTAATTTGCGCAAGGGGCCACAAACTCCGTGTGTGAATTTCTATGTGGTTATACTGCGGGCTACTTTGTCCTATAAGTTTAGAGTTTATCCCGCGTTTTGGCAAATACAGCATATTGATAACGTACACTAACTTATGGGGTTATCAGCACAGCCAGGGAACACCGTCGTGATATAATCTGCCTCCTCGCCTTCCCCCCCCCCCGCCAACAACACTTAACGCATTGACTGTATTGTGGGTGTTTCTGGTTAGTTTTGCCTTGTGAGAGTTTAAAAAGTACTTTGTCGTTGGGGCTAGGCTGAACAAAACGTGAAGGATTGCCCATACAGAAAAAGTAGGCCTTTTTGCCCGTTATGGTTAAGAGAGTAAAAATAATGTTTCGCACTACCGCCAGTCCTTAGCTCAGACTAGAAGCACCCGACCCTCAACCGGTGGTTCCAGCCTCGCTGACGCCACCCACTTTCGGTAGCTGTGCTAGTTCTCATTTCCTGTAGGCAGCTCTAATTTGAATGCGACAGCCCCCTGTCGGTTTTACGTTGTTAAGCTTCCCTGGTTCTGTAGCTTCTTTTGCCATTCTCCTTCCGTCAGATGAAGACGGAGCACCGGTGGAGACGCCAGGAAGACCTCAAAGTCCAGAAGCCTTCCAGCTAGATTCTGCTCCAGTTCTCTCCTCTACCTCCCGACTCCTCAAGCACCTCGAGGCCGTCTCTTCTGATGGTCTCTCCACCAGCTTCACCTTTTCTCCGCCTATCAATCTTTTGGTATGTTCAAGCATTCTCCCACCGCACTGTGTTTATTTCGAAAATTTATCTAATTGAGCCCTTTATTGCATATTAATGTACTGCTCCTCTCCCGACTCTGTTCAGGTGGGGAGACACCTCCATTCATCAAGTATAAAATTTGAATAAATCATGATTGGTTAAAATCTAAGTACAAAGAATAATATTCTTATGGTGGTTTTCAATAAAATATAGTTGAACGTACGAGAACATCGGAAATCTATGGCCAAAATGCATACTGCTTAATTAGTCATTCTTTACAATGTGCGGTTTTTGCAGGCGGCCGAAAAGAGGTGCGTTAGAAAACGAACAGCCCGACATGTCTGAAATATCACGTGATTACGTCGCAAGACAACTAATTCTACAGTTCTCGTAAAGAACTCCTTCCTAATCCAAAACGCATTTTGAAGTTCCGGTTATTATTTCGTGAGATCGGTCCATAAGCAGCCAGTGGGTTTACGTAGCCGCATTGAGACGCGAAGTTCTCGATTGTGCACCCATTGCTCTTCTTACTTGGTTTTCCGCATAATAATCGGGTTTTCCTGCCCATCACAGGATAATAGCGTTCCACCAGTTCGTTGTTCAATTAAGAGTGCGAGCGTCGTTTGCTTAAAGTCGGCAGTCGTTTGGTTTTCTGCGTTTTTGCTTCTACTTTGGGGCGGGACATTTTAGCGGTCTCCAGCCAGTGAGCAATCTCGTGAAATGTGAGCCGGAATTCTGGAATACGTTTTTTTGCCAAGCAGGATTACTTAGATGGGGTAGCAATATCTGTTATCCTGCAGATATTTCAGACGCATCAGCGTGCCAGCATTCGCATTCACTTCTTTTCTACTGCCTACAAGAGCTACATTTGGTTTTAAAAGTGGCCACTTAATTAGTATGCATTTTTTTCAATTGATGTTCGTTGTCCTTGTCAATTCATATACATTTTGTAGAAAATACGCACAATATTATGTCTTGTACTTTTTTGGTAGACAATGACGCCTTCCTTGCATGGAAAGTTTTAAGCTTGCAGTTTCAAAACCCTGAACACAACAGCAACAGCAAATCGAGCCCAAACTTCTTTGGGAATTGAAAAAAGTTTTAACACCGTAACCTACCCCTTCCCCGAGCACGGAATTTAAAGTAGTAAATTTTTGTGCATGTATTCTGTAAAGTTTATCTAAATTTGTGACGGCACCAGAAACCGATGGATAAAATTGTGCTAGTTATAGTAGGTGGACTAACTCGTGAAATGTCACCTGAAATTCCGAAATGCGTTTTCGTTTTTAAAAGATTAATAAAGTGGGGGTGGTGAAACTAGTCAGCCTGCAACATACTTCAATGATATTTCAGTTACTCCGGATGCCAGCTTTCGAACGAACTTCCTTCCGGCCGCATGCAAAAACTACACTATGTTCAAAGTGACTACTTATGTAGCATGATTTTTCTCCATTGATTTTCGATACCCTTAAAAGTTTTATTAAACTCCGTGGAAACCATGCATGAAAATGTTCATTCTTTCACTCATTCGGTAGACAATTACGTCTTTTTCTAATGTTATACTCGAAGATACGGTATAATTCGGTTTTCAGAAAAATTTTCCAATTCCCGAATAATTTTGAACTCGCTCTACCGTTACACTTGGATTCAGGGTTTCCAAACTACAAGCCGTACGTTTTCCCCGTACGGAAAACCACACATTTCTCTACGGCAATAAAGGGGGACCATATAGCGTTCATAAAATTCAGCAATGGATTTGATCCATATTGTTGACTTTACAAGCAACATTAGTGAATGCGGAGACACGACGATTTATGAACGGCCATTTCACGGTATTTAAAAGTCTCACATTTAGAAACCATTTTTTAAAACCGAATTATGTCCCTCCTTCGAGTACTAAATTGAAAAAAGACGTAATTTTCTACCGAATAAGCAAAAAATGAATATTTTTATGCATGTTTTTCTTGAAATATAATTGGATTTTTAGAGACATCGAAAATCAATGAGAAAAGTTCATGTTACGTAAGCAGTCGTTTTTTACGGAGTGTAGATTTTGCATGTAGCCGGAAGGAAGTTCATTCGAAAGCCGGCATCCTGAGGTTACTAAAACATTATAAAATTATGTTGCAGACTGACTAGTTTTACAACCCTACTTAATTAGTCTTTTTGAAATGAAAACGCATTTGGGAATGTCGGTTGACAGTTCATGAGTTAGCCCACCTACTGTAACTAGCAGACGATCGGTAAGAAGCACATTTAAAAAGTGAGCATCCTGGCGTAACTGCACTATCTTAGAATTATTTTGCGCGGTCGCCATTATCATAGCCTCTCTTCATCTTTTCTAGTCGGTTAACATTTCGTAAGAGTGCTCACAGACAGAACTTATCGCGTAACGCTATCGAGCTTTCTTTGCGAGTTAGGTGTATTACCTCTTCTCTAATTGACAGGTGGTATGTCGTTCGAAGCACTATCCCTCCAAAATCCATGCTGTTATGCGATGTAGGATTCGACACTTCATTGTTTCCTTCCTTTCACTTCAACACCTCCCATTTAACGTAGGTTTTTTCTGTCAATATGCCACCCGTGTCAATTTGGCCATGTCTTCCTGTGTGCCCACTCACTTTTAAACCCACAAACATCGTGCACTGGTACCGTCACGTTTTAAGACTGCTTTCCAGTTATTACTTTTTGCTTTTTCGTTTTTTTTTCAGCGGGCACATCGCACAGCTGAGAACCCACTGCAGAGCATTTTCAGTTCGCACTTCGCTTTCTCATCGCCCACCTCGCTGAGGTGTCGAATGTCAGATGTTGTCGAGAGCCCTCAGTCAGACCTGAACGAGACCGACGTGGCGGACGATAGGTGCGTGCGCCCGCTCGCTTATTTTCTCTTTTCATGCACGGCGGCATTTTCTAGTCTGTGTTAAATTTCCATATTTACAGTAGATGTGCTAACTCGCGAAAAGTTAATCGGAATTCGGAAACGCGTTTTCGACCCGAAAAGGTTGTTTAAGTAGGGTGTCAGTGTTAGTTACCGTGCAGCGCGTAATCCCAGGATATTTTAGTTACTTTGGGATGCCGGCCTTTTAACGAACTTCTTCCCTGCCGCCTGGACAAACTACACTGTAAAAAAATGACTGCTTAGGTAGTATGACTTCGCATTCATTTTCGATGCCCTTTTGTATTCAAATATGTTTCATAGAAAACATTTGGCGGGAAGTTACGTCTTCTTCAAATTTTATACTTGAAGAAAGGGTACAATTAGGTTTTAAAAATTTTCAATTTCCGAATAATTTTGAACTCGACCGGCCCGTTCACCCGCATTCAGAGTTTCAAATCTACAAGCAGTTTATTTCCCGTGTGCGAAAAGTCATACATTTCTATGATTTTTTAACCGGGAATCATATGGGGTTCGTAAAAATTATCATTGGATTTGTGCTATAATATAGACTTTACAAGACACTTTAGTAAATTCGGAGGCACAATGTTTTGTAAACGGGGAACTTCACGGTCTCAGAAAATCTGACAATTAGAAACCTTAAACTAAATTATGCCTTTGCCTCAAGTATTCAATCTAAAGGGTACGTGATTTTCTACCAAATGAGTTAAAAATGAATATTCCTGGGCATGTTTTCTATGAAATATATTCGACTGCATAAGGGCATCGAAAATCAATGGAAAAAATCGTACTACATGCGTATTTGTTTTTTACAGAGTGTAATTTTTGCTGGCGGCTGGAATCTAGTTCGTTTAAAAGCCGGCATTCAAAAGTAACTGAAATATCATGGTATTATGCTGCACGGTAATCATGATTACTACGTTACGTAAGTAATATTTTCGAGTCGAAAACACATTTCAGAATTTCGATTACATTTACTGGGTTAGCGCATCTACTGTAGGCAGAAGGAAATTATCGACAGAGACAAGGAAGGTTGGAATAGCCACTTCAGGTCTAGTGGCCCTTGTCAGCTGGCCCTACAGATTATGCAGCATCTGAGCCTCGATCTCGGCTCTTCGGTCATCGAGCGTTATTGATTCCAACATTCCTTCAGTTTAACCACAGACCCGTCGTCCTTTTGGTTGCTATCGGGACTATTAACTACTTTGGGAGTGCGTTCAGAGATTGGGCTACGAGTCGAGCATGTTACGCAGGAATATACTCTTTAGCTTTGTGTGCAATGTCTTCATGGGTAGCGTCTTCACGCGTGCAAAAGCTGCTTTCGATCTACTGAATTCAACAAGCAGCATCACTGTCTTCTCGTAATTTAGTTTATTAGGTATGGGACATGCGCAAAATCAAACTATTAAGCAATTAGGCACAGTTTCTGTCCATATATCCCTCTACCATGAACCTGATTCTAGGCATATCATATTTACCCGTCTTAGCTCTGAGTGCTGGCAATTTGTCAGGGTCACTTATTCTGGAATTTGCTTCTCATGATCGGCCTCCCATGTGAATTTTTTCCTTTACCATACTTTCCTGTGCATTTAACTAATTTTCGCCGTCACTGACCACAGGCATAATGCAGTCATTTAACTGTTAAACCTGTCATATTCCTCAAGATCCGTATGTACCTTTAATGTTTTCCACTATTCCCACCAGCAGAATAATAGTACTTAAAAAAACAAATGCACCTATCGGGCCTTCTATCTAAAATAAGTGCTATACTCAGAAACCTTCGTCTGGACCGTTTTGCTTTTCAAATTTACAGCACTTCCAATGTGCATGAGGAAAGCGGAGTTTCAAACGTGGCCTCGTGTTCCACATCTGGTGAAGGAAGTCAGAATCCCCTCAGTTCAAATGATTTAGACTCCGACGAACCGGAAAAGCCCAGTTCATCTGAGTTTATGGTTAGAGAGGTCGCGTTCCAAAAAGCAGACTACACAGAACAGTCTGACGAACTTGCCTCAGTCGCTTCCAAAGATTCTGATGATGAGCCTGAACTTTTTACGCCCCGGAGATCTCGACGTCATGCCAAACGCCCAGATCGCTATCAGGCTGCCTAAAACATGCCAACTTGTTCATCGATTTTTAGAACACTGTTTTGCAACTTTATTTTGCCTTTCTTCCTCGGAATTACACTTGTTAATATATTTTCCCTGAAAGTTGTGTTTGCCTCCATTTTTCTTAAACAAAGTACGTATTCCATTGAGCGGGTTATGCTCGCGCCCGGTATAGGCCTCTGAGCCGTGTTTACGTTTCTTTTGAACACCGCCAACGGTTGATCTCTGCGCATCATTCACTCCTGTTCTTCACTACAGCTTCCTACTTATCTTCGTCTGTGACTGACCATTTGCCACGGTTATTTTGCGTGTTAAGTTGGAGTCACTTAATGAGCCGTAGGCTGAATCGAGTGACATATTATGAGTGAATCCGCAACGCACAGAGTTCCCTGAGAGTTCGCGAGCAATTTTCTTAAATTTCTAAATTGATTTTGTTTATTTTCTTGCAGCACCTAGTATAATAAGGTCATACGTATACGTCTCATGGTTGACATCGTTGCTGTCTCAAGTAAATCTCCCCTAGGACTTCTGTTTCGTTGGCGCTCAACGTACGTGAATAGCACCATTGATTTCTATTTTAAATTTGTGGAAGCGGGAATATGATATTAAGCAAGTGCAACATAATTTATTGGGAGCTGCGAATTTTTCGTTTGCTTCCAGGTTACTACATGGTAAATGGTCGGCGTTTGGGAAGCCAAACTTCGCTGCCGGGCAACCACAAACTTATTGATCTTGTGATCATAGCGACGGCTTGGCGAGAAAGTGTTATTAAAAGTGTCTGCGCCATGTCTACGACCGACTCGCTAATATCCAAATGCGTCGCATTTTTAATCAATCAAGACACGAATTTCGTAAAAAGCGCGGATGACGTCTATCAAGTCGATGTCTGCAGCTTCATGCATGTCCACCTTGTACACGTGCCTACTTGACCTTCCGCATGATGTATGCACTTGGTAAACAAATTAAAATGCTATCGTAGACGACTGTAAATGGCTTCGCAGGGCAAACCCGCCACTTCGTCCCGGTGGCGTGAAGGTTCATCTAACAGGTCGCAAGGGCACGATATCTGATAGTACTGATCGAGGACGACGTTAAACAAAGCCGAGGAATCCAGTACTTGTTGATGCTTTACGGTTCTTCAACCCCGAAAATTTTCTGCCATTTCAAGAAATCGAAACATCTTGAGAATATACCAGAGTCACTCCCATAGCATTACATGGGCCCGACAGAGTTACGGCGTGAGTCCATGAGACAGTGGTAGAGTGTGCGCTCAATTTGCACTACGCGTAGGGACGATGACGGCCAAATCAAAACCAGTTCTTCACTACAACGATCCCCGACATGCACGCTATCGCCTCACACTTTAATTTGAAATTCGTTCCAACGTCTTCTCCAGACACGGCACACAGTTCCAACTTGTCGTTGATGATCTTTAGTGTTCACAAGTATTCTGCTTGATTTGACATTGTTCGTAAATAGTATATTCTGTTTTTGTAAGGGATTTCACATAACAAGCCAGTACTATCTAATTTATTGCGTAGACTATCCTGAAAGGCAAGGGCTGGACACAGTCTGTATAGTCGATTGCATAACTTTAGCATACCATGAGTGAGGATCCGCAAGTATCCAAATTTGTCTAGATTAGCGTTTATATTTTCGGATATCCCGATGACGCATGAGGCCGTTTATTGTTAATGTAGTCAAAGCTTTTATTTGTGATTTTAACAGAACCCCCATGTGCGCTTAATTGAGTTTTCATGAAATACCTAAAATAAGTGTGATTTAGCTCTTAATTAAATGGGAATCGGGTAGTAGTGGCTTTGAACGTTTTAATTTATTTTTGAAGTAAATTCGAACTTCGAAAATAAAAAATATTGCAGATTGTCACCAAATTAAGATAATATGAGATCGTCTGACCAGAATTCTAAATTATTGCTGCGGATGAGTCTTGTCATAGGTGCCTTGTCCCTTGTAACCACCGACATACCCCGCAGCAGCTTTTGCATCAACCACATCTTCGCGACCAGCAATCCCTTTGCCCTTCCCGGTTTCCATATCAAACCTCTCTTTGTGGGAACCCGTGTAATTTTTCACGTCAGTAAGTCGGTTGGTGGCGTCATCCTTGCTTGTTGCCGTTACGCCATGTCCGGCAGGGCTGCCAGCCGCTATTTTGTCTTTCAACTGCTTCACAGCATCTTCTTTGCTAATGCTTTTTGCTTCCATGTACGCGTCGGACAAAGCGCCATCAATAAACTGAACGAAACTGCCAAAATCAACGTCCTTTTTGGCGTTTCCCAGATGCTTCCGGAACTGGATATCAACACGGTTTGCGTCCATTCCTTTGCAGTATATTTTGCAGTCGGTGCATATCTTTTTAATAGTTTTGTCAGTTGCGGTGGTTGAACCCTTTTTGACACTGTCACAGAAAGCGAGGAATACGGCCTTGAGATCACCCATGCTGGATTGCTTTGAAAGCTTACGCCAACCACACGGTCACCCCTTTGAGTATCTATGTGTTATCGCTTATTTCAAACACCCACCAAGTTACCGGTAGCCATGGGATGATTTCAAACAACGATGCACGCGCAAAATTGCTGATGCTATTCTGGGGTCAGAAAATCATGTATATCTCCTTGCGTTCGGTTGTACTCTCCACATGTTGGAAAAAAATTTGTTTTCAGATTAATCTGAGCCCTGGTTCGCTCGTTAAAATTCAGAAAGTAATTGACTGAACAGAACACCTAGCTGACAGGTAATCCGCTGCTATTAAAAAAGGTTTGTAGTGCAAAATCATTAAGCGGACATTCTGTACTTCCTAAAACTGGCAATAGTAATAGAAGAGTCAGAAACTAGGTTAATAAATATATGGCAAGACCGGCAAAATAGTGATGTAAAAGTTACAACGACCATGTGTATCTTAATGCGCGATTTGGGTAATAATCATAATAATAGGATTAATAATTGTATTTGATGCCAATTTACAGGTATAGTCAGGGTAGGGTCAAACACAAATCCGGCTAGCAGTACAACTAAGGTCGCAGATATTTGGGGAACCTTTCTTGAATCGGTGTTTGCCTATACGTTACTGAGCCGTATTTACTCGCATTTGGAGCCTACGCACGGCCTTTCGACGGTACATCGAATTGAAGATGTGCAAGGTCACCGTCTTGGTGATTGTCCTCTGCGGAGCGGAGACCTGGACCATCTACTAAACCCATGCTAGTAAGCTTAACCACTTCCATCTCAACTTCCTTCGCGATATACTGAAGCTGAGGTGGCATGACAGGATCCCGAACTCGAAAATCTTGGAAAGGGGCGGAATTTTCAGTATTTACTCCGTGATGAGACAACCGGAACTGCAGTGGGCCGGCAATCTGGTCATAATGAACGACGCTCGCTTACCAAAAACTCCAATACGGTTATTTCGTACAGCAAAACTTTTTTAGTTGATTCGGATTCCGAAATTTAACCTCTTTAAGCGCTAGAATTTCCCTCCTCACATCTTCTCTGAAATCAATGGTTTCCAATACTGCGGTGTTCGTTCCACAAGGCAACCCAATCTTCCCAAGGTCCGTCTCATCAATGAAAACCTGTGCTAAAAAACGTGTCAGGTGTCCTGCCTTATCGTCGTTTTCGGTACTATCCTCATTGTTTTCTGCCTTCAACAATGTGACCGCCTCTATGTTCTTTAACTTCCTATTGATATAGTGCAGGAGTAATTCTGGCTATTAAACGGTCATTTCCATTACTCACGTTTAATATTTATGCCCCTGTTACGTACTAACGTCAACGAGCACAACACGATTTTCAAAAATCAGGGAAATTTATTTCATTAATTCGATTTCTCGATTTATTGCGTATTTTCCAGGTAAATTCAGACAGAAATTTGAGTGTTTGTCCATGAGACATCTGCGCTTACCGTCGTGTTTTGCTGATCTATCATAAGTCGCAAATGTACTGCCAAAATATTCCACCCTTCATAGTCCCACTTTTTTATGTTTTATAGCATATAAAACTCGGTCCGATTGCAGTTTATTAATTTGAATGTAGACACGTTCTTTAGGAAAAGTAGAGAACTTCATTAAGTAAGTTTTCAACGTTGGTTGCCTAGGTCGTCGTCGGACATGAGCAGATGTGCGAAAAACAATTAACATTTCAAACGGACTGAGAAATTAATTCTTATTTGGTGTTTGCGTTAGTACGCGGCCGCCGCATGCATCATACCGCATTGACTGGCTCTCGTCTCTTCCAATTTTTACTGAGATTTCTGCATATAGCATCTAACACAATGTGCTGATTGATGTATGATTCATCGAAGTGCATGGCTTCAAGAGACTCTCGGCCTTTCAAAAGGTGCAAGCTCCGACGGCCAGAGCTTTATCCCATGCGAAATTGTGCTCAGTGTCAAGTGTGTGCATAACCATTTGAGACAGGGGGTCTGGCCTCTTACCTCCTAGTTTATGCTCGTAAATTCGTTTAGCGGCAGATTTTCCCGTCTGACCACAATGCAGGGTATCACGTGCGTCGTATGGGACATTATAGACGACTTTCTTCTTATCAAGTTAGCTAACTCTATCTTGAGGGTGTACAAGTTAAGTGCGTAAGGTAGTCATCGGCTTTTGCGTCCCTTTTATTTGGTGTTTCCTCAAGTATCTTTCAAGACGTTTAGGTACAATCCTGATAAAGGGATAGATTAGCCAAATGTTAAATTTGTGCGCTTGATTGGAACTATCTAGCCCCTTTGCTGTTAACTCTGGTTGTCTCATGCGCCGACGTACGAAATCTCTATTGTGACCGTCCTGGGAAAATAATTTGAACGGGTAATTTGCTCACATTAGTAGCTTTTGAAAGCAGGCAATATACCGCAAGATTTATTCGATCCAAAAAATTTAGCGACGGCTTTTCAACTGCGGCCCGTCCCTGCGTAACATAGATAACGAATGGAAGCCAACAGTAGTATGAGTTTGTACAGAATGTCAGTGCATAAGAGCAAGGTCACGGTT